TTGAAGCAACAAAAACCGTAAATATTTGTTCATTCCTAGGAATTATACGTAGATACGCTACTGTACCATACGCCTTTTTGCTCGTGTCAGAAAAACAGTGCAGTTCAATCCTTTCCACATCACTATTACTGATTGCAGAAAAATAATATCGTGGAATACCGATTTCGTCTAAATTAGAAACTTCTTTGCACCATGTTTTCCATACAGAACATAAATTTTCTGGTAGTTCATCATCCCAATCTAAAGCAAGTGTCCAAATTTGCTGCAATATGATTTTGACTCTAAGTACAAACGGTGATAATAGGCCTACTGCATCAAATATTCATCCTATTTGCTTGTAGGACAAAACGTTTAGTATTAACTTGTTTTGATAGAAATGTTATCAAATTTTTTACATCAAAGTAAATTATGTCACTTGTCCTTGGTTGTCCCAAGCGACTCCGAACACTTTCAATGGAGGATTTTCAGCTTCCGAAACATGACTAGATTCCTCGGATTCAATACCTTCTTTAATCCATAATTCGCCGCAGTTCTTGAGAATTGGTGTGCCATTTATGTAGAATCATACTAGCATCTCTAAAAATGTTGACGCATTTTAAACTGGTATTGAAAGCAAGTTCAACGTTTTGGTGTCCTCCAATGATGTCATCTACATAAATGTGATCATTTAGAAATTCGCAAGTGGCAGGGTAGGTTTTCTCATATTGTTTCAAATGGTGTTTAATGGTTGCAGCCAGTAAAAACGGACTGCTATTTATGCCAAATAACACACGTGTGAACCGATAAGTTATAAAATTTTGTGGATCATCGAATGGATTTTTAGTAAACAGAAAACGCGTTACATCTATGTCCTTCTCATCTACTTCTATCTCAAGAAAAGCCTGCTTTATGTCACTTGTAAATGCTACAGGATGAAGCCTGAAGGCTAACAGAAGTTCAAAAATGTCAGGATACAAATTTGGACCAATATGCAAGCAGTCATTTAACGAGATTTCACCAGGTCCATGTGAAGACACGTCGAATACGATACGTAGTTTACTAGTAGTTCGATCACTACGAACGATTTCTCTGTGAGGCAAATAAAATGTGATTTGAGATTCACTATCATCAGTGTCTGGAACTGGTTCAATGATGTTTTGTAGTAAATAATCTTGTAGAAATGTTTGATACGAATAAAAGAGTTCAGGGTTATTCTGAAATCGCTTTACAAGTTTCTCAAATCGTTTCAGCGCAATCGCTTTATTGTCATGTAACTCATATTTTCTATCAGACTTCCATGACAGCCTAACCTTGTAACGAGAATTTTTGTATAAAATTTCCGATTCGAATTTTTCCATTATAGTATTGTCTAATGGGTCGAATGATTCATTTTCAGGTTTTATACCTAAACTTTCAAGCTCCCAAAATTTCTTTACCTGATCAGATATTATATCTTCCTCAACTATGATATTAAAGGCTGTGGACGTGTGTGTTGTACCTTTAGTGTGACCTAGCAGAGACCAACCGAATGTTTCAGCAGCTACTAAATGTTTGTTTAAATGCTTAAGTTTCCCAGTTACTACATCATAATAATGATCAGCTCCTATTAAAAGAGAAATTTTTTCTTTGCAATCCCAAGAGTCTGCGAGTTGTAAACCTTCTAACTGTTTGCCTAAAATGTGTCTATCCAGATTAGGAGGTGGTAAATCAGAACTTGAAATTTGTTCAGTCACGAGAGCTTCAATTTCGATTTTCAAATTCGGTGTTTCTTGTTCTGTAATTTTATCTTAACAACGTCAAATGTTTTTCTAATGGATGATTTATTTCCAAACGTAAATACCGAAAGAGTCTCTGTTCGTATAATAGGAAGCTTCAATTTATCCGCGATTTCTTTTCTCAGGAAGGAATGCATACTACCCGAGTCCAGTAGAGCTCTAATTAAAACCGACTGCGTAGTTGTTCGAAGTGTTACGCAACACGTTTGAAGTGAAATAGTTTTAATTTTGCTGCGTGAGAATGCTGAAAGAACATGCGAATCTTCTATACCTTTATTTTTTTCATTTAGTTCTTTCTAAGCGCGAAAGCATATTGAACTGTTATGTCGACCTTTGCACTTGGAGCAGACGAGATCGCTTCAACAGTGCTTTATGGGGTGGTTTGATTTCAGGCAAAGGTAACATCTGGCATGTTTACGTAATAAATTTCTCTACTCATCAACTGTCAGTGATACACAGTCTTCAGTAACATGTTTGGATGTATTACAAAACAGACAGCAATTAGTAGTTTTGTTTTCTTTAACCGGCGCCAGCAGCTGCTGAGTGGAATGGACGATACTCCCCTTCCCTCCGTTCTCTTTATAAATACAGGAAGTGATTTCTGATTTATGAGTGGAGAGCAAAAGATGGCTTCTCTCGCGACTTTCCAATTCTAAACGAACAAACTGCAATAATTCGTCAACATTAAAAAAAGATGACGAATCCATTTTACGATTGAATTCTAAGGTTATACAAGACGGCAGAGTTTTCATTATGGCTGGAATCAACATACAACTGTATTTTTCTGGTGTGACTTCTAATGATTTCAAGCTACGTATTTGAGTTTCTATAGTGTCACAAAGTTTGCGAAGTTTTAAAGTGTCACTGGATTTGGTTACTGGGGTAAGATTCAGGAGTTTTTGCATGGGTTAATTTATAATTATATCTTTCCTGCCCAACCAGTTTTTAAGTATTTCGACAACTTCATCGTAATTTGGTTCCGAAATGCAAAAACCTTCTATCGCGTTTGCAGCATTGCTGCATAAGTACTATTTTAAATAATTAAATTTTTCGATCTTTGTTAAAGATTCATTATCATGGATTGCTACTTTAAAAGAGTTCCAAAAACTTGTCCACTGGGTACAATCTCCATAGAATTTACGGATGGTTAACTTTGGCAGACGCATACATTTATTGCTTTTGATTTTAGAATTAGTTTTGTTAAGAGAATTTTCATTATCCGAATTTGTTACTTTATTTAATTCTTTCAATTTTTTATTTGCTCTGAATTGCCATAACTGAATTTTCTCTTCGTATTCGATACAAGATAGAATTTCTGTTTCAAACTCTTCTGCCTCTGATTTCAAGTCACGCTCTATCTGAGCATCTAATTCACTCAGAGCTTTCGATTTCGTGATTAATTGGTCTAAACATTCTTCTAATGTATTTGTATCAAGTTCTTCTTTATTCAACTCGATTCAATTTTTTTTAGAATCTTAGACACGGTGGTCCTGATAACTTTTCTTTTCGATTTTAATTTAGCAACAGACTCTTCCGCCATAGTTACTCTACAAATTAGAAAATTTAGCCTTACCTTTTGCTGACTTCGCACACTTGCAACGTGCTAAATCCAATTCTTGATGGCCTAATGCACCAGTTGTTTCAAAATATTCTAAGATCTATAAATCGACATCAATCACTTTTAAAATGTAACTTTTAATATGTACAATATTTACAGATCATTGATCAATATATGGTGGTTCAGTTGACAAACAAATCTATATGCTTTCATAATCGAAATCTTTTAAATAGGAACCGAAGAGTTCCTAATCAAATAGTGTGCGAACCATCAAACATGCATTTTATCAAACTGCCGGTGGAGCGTCTATGGAAATTCAGAAAGCACGTCACGTCGCGTTAACACGCAACGCTAGCGCCATCTATCAATTAATCAAAGTAATTTCCACAACTCGTAACTACACATTGTAATAAAATTTTCAGCACTAACAATGTCACACTAAACACTCAGTATTCTTCCCTTTTACGGGTCAAGTCAACCCAGATTTTTATTTTTTTTAATTTTATCTTTGCATCTTTTTACCTTATGTTTTCTACAGCTGGGTAAAACAAAACCATCAAACATAACATTCCTTAAGTAATGGAAAACGTGCACACTGAGAAGAACAATTTTAAGAATGAAAATCTTGCCAAGGTATTTTAAGCATCCTTAGCATAAATGATAATACAGTCAAAAGTCTTTAATCCGGACATCCATAATCTGGAATGATCTATAACCCGGACCTCAAAGCTACAAACTTTCTGCACATGGGTAAATGCATAATTCGTTTACGCATGCACATTTAATGTATAACGGACAGTATAAACTAAGCTAAAATTATCTAATTATCTATTTCAGTTAATGTTGCAGATTGCATTGTTCCTTAATCTTCGAATTGGATCCAGCTTATTATTTTTTTGCAGACTGTTAAAGCAATTTTATAAAAGTAAGCTTGAACTTTCGATTATGTCAAAAAGAATTTCTGATTCTGGAGCCGCCAAAGGATCTACAAAGCAAAAGCATGTTTCGATGGCCATCAAACAAAAAGTGGAATTGCTGCAAAAAATGGATAAAGGCATATCCTTTGTTTCTCTAACCATTCCGAAATCTTTTTATCAATTTCACGCTGCGCTGCGGGGAGGGGGGAAATGTTGCGGTGCGCTATGAACTGGAAGTTGATCTGTCAGCACTATCCTTATCTTCAGGGCAGATGTTTTTATTTCATTCAGCTTATAATTCCTTACTAAATGTAGTATTTCATCTCGATGTACTATGTCATTGATATGATTTAAATCAAATTCCTCGTCATTAGAAATATCACAAATACACATCAAATAGTTTTCTGGTTGCAATTTCTAATTTCGACTATGCGTAATGTATGTTTTACGGGTGCGCGCGTTGAAAGAAATGTTTAATAAAGTAAAAAAATAAATATTAAGCCTTTTTTTTTTTTTTTTTGTAAATTTTGATACCCTTTAGACCATAATTGCTTTTTATTTCATAAATTACGGTTTCATATTTTTAATTTTATAATTTCAGCATGCCATCTTACCAGATTTAAATTGATAATCTATAATCCGGAAAACCGATAATCGGGAATCGCCAAAATCCCGACAAGTCCGGATTAAAGACTTTTGACTGTAATAACAAAAAAGAAAATTATTAAGTTGATGAAAAGTATAAAGTAAGGAGGAATAAAAGATTTTTACCACTGTAGCAAAATTCAATTAAAGCCTTTAGTGCTTCGGGATCAGTGTCTTTCATATAAACATGACGCATATTTGCTTCTTGAAGACTGCTGGTAAACATGGCAGAAAAATAATCACTGGCAGATGACAAAACAAGACGATGGGCATTAATTTCAATATTTGATACAACAAGTGTAACATCACAAAGTTTCTGTTGCAAATATAGATCTCTCATTTTCTTCAAGCTTTCTCTAGCATGAATATAAGAGATATAAAATCTCTCATCATCATTTGAATCCATTCTACCATGCGTGCAAGCAATATGAAGTTTGCCATCATCATTTGAATCCATAATATGCTTTATTCCATTAACTCATTAAAGTACCTACATTAAGACATAAAAAATAAAATATTTTAGTTTCCTATTGACATAAAAGATATATAAAAGTAATTTTACCACAGAAATTATCAGGAGAAAATTAGATATATCATTTTTCCTCACGTATTCCTCCTCTAGCATTTTAGCACTAAGTTTTGAAAATTTTACAAATATTCATATATTTACTTTCTTTCTCTGTTGTAATAGATTTTTCCTCTGATGTCTAGTTTATTAGTAAATTGTATGCCCTTGATTATTTTTATTTGTATTCAGGACAATTTGTACTTGCATTTTTGTATTAGCATTTCATTCATTTTATTTTCCCTTGCATTTATTATTTGAACAGTATTTTGAGCAAATTCTTCATTAAACTACCCAGACGTAGCAGATGGTCTAACACAGAAATTTTCCAAACATGTGATTTCACCTTACTTCTGTTATATATAAAATTATAGCTCAGTACAGCCTTATCTACTGCTGATATGTTTAATCTTTTGAAATCTGGATCTTTCTTTTGCCCCTCTTTTTTCTTTTGTTCCTCCAATGCTGCTATTGGGAACTGCAGTCAAGACTCAAGATAAATGATCTGGAAACACCGAGCTCTATACTAACAAAATAACTGAACTAGATACATTACGCTCTGCATGGTTTAATAACCATGATATATTGTAATATTCATTGTATTCCTACTGAAATGTAGGTTTCTTTAAAAAAATAATATTGTGATAGTTACCAGTACTTTATCCATGACTACTTTTCATTTGTTATACTCTTACCTTAACCCAATTTTTTGGAAATTAAATTACTTGTATAATTTTCCTCTTGCAATTTTCAGATGAAAAAACTAGTTAAAAAAGGGTGAAAACATGAGGAAATATAGTAGTGGATGCATAATGGGTAAAAGAAGGATTTGCTAACTCATAAATAATATATTTATATAATTAAAAACAATACAGAATCAGTTAAAAGCAAATGAACATTCAAAAATAAACCATTCGATAAATGAATTTCATGTACACAAAGTTATGTAATATTTTTTCTCTTTCCCGCTACTATGAGAATCCATCATTTTCACCATCATAAGAAACAGTTATAATAATGCTGCAGCAGGATATATCATTTGGCGCATCCCAGTTTGTTAAACTTGGTTCTGACTATAGAAGAAAGAGTTTTATGTACATAATGTAATCACGTTTAATCATGCTATAAAAATATTTACCCTTTCCTTGAGAAAATGAATAGTAAAGGGGGGAAAAATTAATGCTGTTCCAGAATGAAAAAAAAAAGATTTTATTTAAGAAAAGTTCAAAAAGAATATCAGTGCAAATATATCTACTAGTCAATAAATATGGCAACAAAATAAGAATTGCAAAGTAGAAAGAGAAAGTAAAAATACATGCATGAAAAATATACCATACAGAAAAAATAATAAAAGAAAAAGTTAAGACATCTCAAGCTAATCAGATACATCTGATTTTAAATAAAAGTAGGAAACTGCTAAACTATTAAGAATTAAATAACTGAGTAAAACCACTCAAACACTCATATTACAGCCATCATTGAAATGTTCTACAAGTATTTTCAACTCTTTAGCATTTCATCTATTTTCACCTTTTATTTTAATATATTGCTATAATAACATTTTGATTTTAGCTTAAGATAATCCATTCTGACACAATAACAAAGACAAAATGTAAATCTCTTTCTGCAACACAGTACAGAAAACATGGTGGTACTTGTCTTCTCTAACAGCCTTGGCAAGAAGTGGATTTCTGCACAGGCAAGAAACAAATGATTACTGATCTGTGCATGGGCAAAAAACACACAATAACTACTTAACAGTTTCTTTTTTCCGTCATGTTATGACAAAAAATAAGCATATTTTTTATCAGCATTTTTAGGTGCGTTTCCGTTTCGCCGGCGCATATCTTGCCAACCAGACTTTATTGACGACAACATACAGCATACACATAACACATGTTAGTTCTAAGATTTTTTTTATTTAGAAGGCATAAACATTTTAATGTTTAAAATTTTGTAAAAGGCCAATAAATTTGTAAAAAGGCATTTAAATTTAAGAATTTACTATCCTTTCATGGTTCAACATCCTGATTTGCCGGTTCAAATCACGTGATCCCATCTCACGTAAACTATGCTACAAAAATCTAATCCCTCTCAGTAATTATCTACATTAATTTCAAGTTAAACCTTAATATGAAATACAAGTTTAAATGCAAGAATTATTTCAATTCGTACAGAAGCTTACTCAGAAATTATGTAAAACAGCAGCGCTTTACTTCACTAGTGCATTCTCATTAGAATTTATGAATTTAACTCTTAACTTTACCTTTTCCACATTTTCGCCTTCGGGTGAGCGGTGTGATTGCATCCTAATTGACTTAATTACCGCGAATGGCCTTACTGCATAAAATTGAGCTATCTGGTAAAAATTCTATGCAATTGTATGATAATATTGAAAGAAACAATTAATATTATAAGAAATGGCTGCGACTTGTTTTGAAAATGAGGCGTAATAGGTTATCAGCGAGGATATTCCGTTTGGCATCAGTTGTACCATTATTGGCGACTCTATCTCTATCGAAAAGTACCCATTTTTTATGAAGAAATCCATTATACAAACCCAAATCAGCAGTCAGAACTATCACAAGTGTTGAATTTATTGATTTATGCTAATTTTTTTTTTCATCATAAAAAAGCACACTTTTCCTTAAAGTTGACTTTTTCGAACAAGTAAGTGAACTGGAAAGAACACTTTACACAAATAGATGTCAGAACTTAAAATGTTTATTGTTATTACACATCTGTTCGATTCCAAAGACTTATTATATCAAGAAAGAAGGATTATTAATATCAAGTTCACAAAAGTTCCAAATTTGCATTATATTATCTATACTTTCCATTTCTTTATCACTAGAGAAGTCAGACAACAAATTGTCATTACTTCCAGAATCATTTAGTGAAATTTCAGATTCACTATCTGAGTCAATATCAGAGTTATCTTCAGTTATCAGCTGCTCATTATCCTTCATTTCTTATTTTATTTTAGCTCCAAATTTAAAAGAAATAGTATTCGCAATAGCCGGAACACCGAGCTAGTGAAAAGAAATTTTACACCTTTACTTGCATAAAAGAATTCAGTAAAACCTAACCTTGAAACCAGTTGTTTAGCAATTCTAACTTTACTGGATTACTAGCGCCATCTGTTAGAAACATTGCACTCTAAACAAGCAAAAAATTTGGGCAAATCAGTGTATTAGACTAGTTGCCTGAGCGCTGCTCGAGAAAATAAAAAAAGTGCCATTTTTAAGTGCCCGAACGAAGTGGTTAACTATCTATGTGGCTTTTCATAATTGCACTTTGTAAATATAGTGGATTTTTATTGTAAAATACTCATTATGCTTACTCTTTTTACATTTCCATCAAAGGTAAAAGGCGCTATGGTTGATATTTGAGTCATTATTAGCAGCAACTGCTGAAATGCATCAAGACAGAGTCTGTAAGAAATGGATTTTCGAGTATGTTTATAAATGTTCCTTTTAGCAGATTGCTACCAAACTCTATTAAGTAAAATAATAAACAAAATTTTTTAGCATGTTTAGTAATAAATAGAAATTTCAGGCATGTTTATGTATGCTGCTATTTTAAATTAATTGCTCAAACAGCTGCATTAAATACGATAATTTATAAACATATATTAAAACAGTTCTGTTGAATTAGTTTATTACTTGAAATAAACTTGAAAATAAAACTGCTGATTAAATTATATTACATATATATATTTATTACAGTATATTAAATACTGTAATAAATATAAATTTACATTACATTCCTTCTCTCTCTATAGACACACAATATTAAATAACTTGTGATGTATAGATACTGAATAAATTGCCAATTTGCTTTCACGGGTGCTTAAAACATTTGGCAACAATCACACTTTCTTAAGCTCGAATTGCTCCAATGCTGTTTTTTGTTGCTAACACCACAACAGAAGAAAAGTACTAAAAATATTTGCTTACAAACAGAAATATTTACAGATGATTAAGCTCATTAATAACACATAAATGACAGGATTTGTCAATGTTACATATTTTAACTATTAAACTTATAAATATACTGCGATTTGAATATTGAAATATGATCACCTACAACAAGTAACAAGCACAGTACATGAACTGACAGTTGATAGGCAGGAATAGATATTCTCTTTTCAAGCTATACAATCCTATTCATTAGTTGTGATATTTACTTATTCTTCTACTTTAGCCAACGTCTGTCTCTGACAAGTCAGTCATTTAGCACTGCGCCATCCAGTATAGCTGTCCCCATCCTTCCATTGCATCTTCTTAGGATTTCTACCTGCAGAGCGTTGAAGGTACGGAGATGATTAGCATTTCCTTCTCCTGAGTTAAATAGGGAGGCATGTGAGCGAGATGACTAAGCAGACTGGGGTTAATCTTCGGATTATGGTAACTTGGCGATTTTTTGGCAAAAATTTAGCAACCAACCCTCCTACAGCAACCTGCTAGTTTTTTTTTTTCTTTTTGGATGCCATTTTGTTTTCACGAAGTAAAGGCTTTTTTTTTTTTTTTTTTAAATTTTTACTCAACATTTTTTTTCCAACAATCTGCTAGCCGAATTACGCTTATGCTAGAACTTTTATGGAACAAATGTGCTTAATCATGACGAAGATTAGGTGCGAAATTGGGAGAAAGTGCAGAATCGCCCACTGCCTGCCGCGTTTTTAAGAATTGCACATACCCGGTATCCATGTATACATTGACCTATTTTCACTTAAAAAACATTCCAGAATTGCACAAAAATGGCATTGCGCACACTCTTGACTTAATCCATATACACTGCTAAAGTCCTAGCTAGTAACCTTTATCACCTTACCAAAATGTCGCCATACTACCTGTTACCATATTCCAAAGATTAGCCCAGACTGGCTCTGATGGTAGTCACGGGTTATGGTCAATCTAAAG